AACTGGAACAACCTCAACGCAGATGACGCATCGGCGACCGGCGCTGCTGCAGGAGGCACGTTCAACTCCCAGATCAACGACGACAGCATGAACAACTTCCCACTGCCGACGAACAACTTCTCGTGGCAACATATGCCCATGGATATTGATCAAGATTGGTCTTGGTTCTTGAACGATGCGCAGACGACTCAGGGTATGGGTACAGGTGTTCCACCAGCGCCCACTGTGCCACTTGATTTCAACGCACAGGGCTTCCCTGGCTTTGGCTGAGGGACGAAGTGTTGCACAGGCGTTTATGGTGGGTTCACATTCACTACGAGATACGTAGCCATGTACGAGAAAAGTATGGGGCCATGTACGATAGCAAGTATTTGTGTAGATGGGTTCAGAGTTTCTTTTTGATATCCGAGCTGCTAGATGCTACTCCACTCTCGCTGGCAATGTGCGAGGCAATTGATCTTCCTATTCAAGAACATGACCCAAGACCTTGAATGTGTGCCTACAAAGTCCAGATAACAACCCTTCCATCCACACCCGTGGAACTAATCTTGGTGATGCCGCTTCCGCTCTCTTCAAAGCTTCGGATAGTGTTGATGGTGTTCTGGTGCACAGTCTTGAGCTTGGTGTCATCCGTGCCCGACTTGCCCTTGAGATCCATCTGCCTGAACATGTTCAACGCGCTCTCCTCACGCTGGTCCGATAGACCAGGTCGGCTCTTAGCCTCCAGACTTCCAGTAAGCTGCCAGCCAGACTCGTCACCCTTCAGACGATAGGCTTCACAGTTGTATCCGGCAGCAATGATCTCATCCTCAGAGCTCCACAGGAGCGACATGAAAGGCAAGACTTGAGTGCTGACACTAAGGATGGCGCGGGGAGCTTGTTCGGGGCCGCTGGGGTAGACGACGGTCAGGGTGCTGTCGTGGGATGCGAATGCGAGGGCGTTACCCGAGGGGGAGAAGGCAACGCTGTGGACCCAACCTGCGGTGTTGTTCAGATACTCGCCGCAGATGGTGTTGAACGGGAGACGCTCTCCCCATGCCGAGGGCTCAGGACGCGCGTCCACGTTCTTGATGAAGGAAGAGAGCACGCGAGCGTGTCCGTCGGTAGATCCTGCGGCGAGCAGGACCGAGTTGGGGTGCCAGGAGACACAGGTGATGGTGGAGCGAATGGGCTTCTTGATGTGCTTGGAGACCCACCAGTTGTCTTCCTCTTCAAAGTAGCAGACGGGGATCAAACGAGCACCAGAGCCCACGGCGAACTTGGTCTCGGAGGGTGCCCAGCGAACACAGGTAGCAGCGCGATTGATACGGAGGAGCACAAGTGTGGGCTTCCATCCCTGCGGCGAAGGCTCCCAAACGTACGCATTGCGATCTATCCGTGCATTAGCTGCCTGCTACAGCCCACCAGATAGCTCCGAGCTTACCCTGCGAGCAAGTCACAATCTTGCCAGAGTTGGGTGCGATATCGACACCAGTGACTGTCTTGTCGTGACCTGTGAGCTCATCCTTGAGCTTGTATCCGCTGCCCGTCTTCTGGAAGAGGTCGACGTTGTTCTCGCGGGCTACAGCGAGCGTCTGGCGGTCGGCGGAGAAGGAATGGTCCGCAATGGGATGGTGGAAGAGGTGGTGGACTTCGGGGCCGGACATGATGGATATGGGGGGAGGCGTGCAATAGGAGACTCTCCACTACTGCCAATTGGTGTTTTGGGTTGCAAGCTGTGGAGCTTTGGGAGACTTGGTGACGTGGGGCTGCTGGCTGGCTGCGATGCTGCGGGTGTTAGCGTCGTCTTGGCTTTCCCGAAAATCACGGCGACTGCAGCTTCGACATCAACGCGAATTAGGGGGTTTTGCTACGCGACGGGCAATTCTTGACACAGTATGCTATATGCCACTTTGGGATATATACACAGATGCTAATCATGTCGCAGCAACCGCCATCATGATCCTTAGGCGCCCGCTTCTCAATGCGACATCCGCAGTGTCAGTACCGAAGACATGCGTACGAAACCTCCAGCACTCGATCCCCATGCGCCCGGTGCCCAAACCGATACCATTCATTCCCGATCACACCGCCTTTCTCAGCGCGATTGGCCGCGGCCTCTCCGCACACGCAACCAAGATACCGTCCTGGGAAGCCCTCTTCACACTCACATCGCCGCAACTGAAGGAACTCGGCGTTGAGCCCGCACGCTCGAGACGTTATCTCTTACAATGGCGGGAGAAGTATAGGAACGGAGAGTACGGTATTGGAGGAGATTGCAAGCACGTTCAAGACGGTGTGGCAGAATTGAAGGTCGTCGAAGCACCAGTACCGCCAAATCCCGAACTCGGCAACACCATAAGTCCCCGCTCTGCAGCTGCCACGGCAACACATGATCCGGGTACGAGGAAGCTAGTTGTTAACGTGCCGGTCGGTGCTGAAGCACCAGTCGAGCCCGTCGAGACATTACCCAAGGTGCAAGGCGTTATCGTAAAGGGTGCGAAGACCATCAAGGGCAGCTTTGTGGAACCTGTCAAGGGGAGCGGAGGTCTACGAGCACGGATACGGCTGCAAGAGGGTATCTGGGAAGTAAGGAGAGGGCACAAGGTCGATGGTGGAGAGAGGAGGAAGGCAGAGGTGCGGGCGAAGAGAAGGGCGGCCGAGAACAAGGAGAAGGCGAGGTAGATCTAAGTGGTAGGACATGGAGCAGTAGATACCGATTCTTGTACAATGAATGTTATTATACGTAAGTCTATGTGTACGACGTCAGAAGACCAGCCATTGGCAGGATGGATGACCCGGGGTAGGGGCTTCAGCCGTAGTGGAACTATCTGACAATTCGCGCCAATCTCAAGAGGCAGAGAAGCTGGCCTTGGAGCAGCCCAGAGTGTCTGAAACCCGACACATACACAGTCCACTGTGCTTGATAGGACCAACGACCGCTACCTTGACTTCTTCGCTCACGAGTTAGGGCTCCCCTCTGCTCCAATCCTCTCAAACTCTCAGCTAATCAAGTGCCTGCTTCTCTCTCAAGGATCGTTGTATGGGTTGCTATAGGCGGTGTCGTTATGACAGAGGGAAGAGAAGCATGGGAAAGCTTTCTTCGCACTCTTCTGACGTCTCGAATAGTTCATTTACAAAACACGTGTGAAAGCGCATACTGTTGCGCATGCTGAAATGGTAGACCTTCAGACTCTTGAAGTCCCCCAGCCTCCATTAGCAGCTCAAGTCCATACAAAGAACTTAGGCCGTGACTGTGAATAGGGCAGTTACTGGACAATTCGGGATAGAGACGTAGCATCGCGATGGCGCAACACGACAGGGTCCATGAACAAAAGCCTGTTCCGGATTAGCAAACCAGACCTCAAAGTGTACATTAAGACTGAACAAGTCGGTAACATCTCAGACAGTAAGCTTTCGCACATCGAAACCACGAACTCGGGTTGTCTGCTGCGAAGTATCTATAGAGGCGCATTCGTGGGAGATTAGGCCATGAAGCACGTCATGTCATCCTGGAAGATAAGAAGGAAGGAAGGGTCTACAAGAGCACACGTACCAGATTTTAATTGAGAGGGACATTGTGCTGCCTAGTCAATCTCTCCTGCGTCCGAGTGAGGTGACATGCATGCACATTCCCCAGTACCCGGTATGCGAGATGCAGGCATGTACTAGCCGCAGGTGTGAACGCAGCTGCATGATGGCTGAAATAGAACGACCAAGTGAGTGCCGCACATAATAAATGTAGTGGTAATCAGGGGTTTTCGAAGACGCGAGAAAATTTCGTAGGTTGAAGTTGAGTGTTTGTGTTGTGGTTGCCTGCCCTGATCTATGACAGCAGGTAGGTATGACGCTAGCCCTCATCACTAGCGCCACTTCGTTCCTGGGTCTCGCTCTTACCTCACCTGCGACATTTGAATGGAAGAAAGGCCTACTGATCCGAACATTGTACCAAGAGGATTCTTCCGCGAATTGCTCGTCTCACTTCGCCCTGGCAAGAATGGGAGTAAACATATCAGCGGATGTGAACTCCATTCTCACAGGTCAGCCTCCAAGAAGGTATATTTCAACCGCTCTCACACTCACACATTCCGAATTTTCAACTACTGCGTTCGACGTTGATTGATTCCCTCTCTATCTTACGTGTACTATCCGACATAACAGTTTGCTGCTCACCTGTCAGTCGCGCACCGACGTTTCCACAGGTCCACGCCAAATCCACCAACACACGCACAACGCACGAACATCTCTTAACCCAAACAGCGAATTCAGGAACGCCTCAGGAAGATAGCCCCTCTTCGGAAATTGCAAAGTAGCACGACTTAGATACGCCTCTCCCGCACCCGTTGTATACGAGAGCCGAAGGCCTTAGTGTCCACCCCATCAGCTACGCCACGATAACGCCTCCCGCCCATTATCGTGGCCGTTGACCGTTACCACTAACACAAATTTTGCCCCGCCATTAGGTTCGACATGTGAAAAGAGGGGTCATATCACCACATAAGATTCGTTTGCTTCTCGTAGGAGAAACGCGAAAAGGAACAAAGTGTTTGTTGTGCGATTACAGATTCTAAGCTCAGCTACTCGCCTACCAGGTTTTCGCTTCCTCCCAATTGTCTAAGAGTAGTTGCCTTTGTTATATACAAGATAGATAAAGGGAAGGTGATTGATTGTATGGCGCAAAAACGAGCCTTTCCATGGTTTAATCGAGACAAGAAAGTGACTAACTCCGCGTATGCAAAGAACGCAAGGGAAAGATCGAAAACGCCGGTTGTAGATGCAAAGAGGATAGGAAATAACAGGTAAATGTTGTATGATCAGCTCCAAGTCGCGCTGCATGAGTCTTCGTATATCATCGATCTTTTTCTTCTGGTGTCCCTTTGTTTCTTATTGTCTCTTTCTCTTCCATGGGTGATTATTGTGATGGGTCGATTATTTCTGTCTCAACTGTACAATACGGTATTAATAGTTTCTGTTGACCGCCGCTGCTATCAACCACCACCAAGACTATGTACGGTATTAGTCTACGAGCTCTTGCCCGCTTCAAACACCTTGTTCATGAACTCGTCCACATCGAGTTCAATCTTCTTCTCGCGAAGTGTCTTTGCAACCTGCGCAGCGTCGCCCTCCATGCAGCTGCCTTCCAGTATACTGAGTATAGCGACGGCAGCGCGTGGGACGTTCTTGTCGCCCTCGATGGTGTAAATGTCCATGATGCGCGCGGCGTGCTCAACACCTAGACGACCGCAGAACAGTGAGCCGAGGGTATGGAAGAGGTAATCTCTGGGTTCAACTCGTAGCGTCTCTAGTCGTTGGGCCAGGCTAGGCGCTTTCTTCGACAGAACGTGCAGTGTTGTGGAGTAGGCGGCGTGTATGGCGTTTTGGTCGTGGATGAGGAAGGACAATGGCAATGGGCGGTTGAGCAGATTTGACAAGGTGACGAAGGCTTGCGGCGCGGCAAGGTTCAATAAGAGCAATGCTGCGATGTGGTGTATGTCGAAACTTGAGTGTGGGATGTCCGGGCGGTACATCGAATACGCCAGGCACACATCGACAAGGTCCCGATGCAGCGGCTGCTCGTCCTCTGCAGCCTGTGACGTTCGTGCGGCAAACATCTTGAGTTCGGGAAATACTGCTTGGGTGCTTTCGACAATGTAGACATAGCGGCCTCCGAGCGCTTCGTGGCCATGTGTCTTTACTTCTTTGCGTGCTTTCTCCAAGGCAATGTTGTAAGTGGCTTCTGTGACCTCGAGGTCGTTTCCAATCGCTTTCTGCCAGACTTGGCCTCGCAACCGTGGGGGGATTCCGTTCCACCACATCTTCCTGTGCGAGGCACGTAGCTCGGAGTTGGTCATCTCGGTGGCCCAGTTTGGTAGCAGTAAACTCGACCAGTATTCAGCCTTGATGCGGCTGGCCTTTTCACGAGCCAGGGCTTCCTCTTGGGCGCGTTGAGCCTCGAGACGTTCTGCGATTGTTAGTCATTTGTTGTCGCAGATGGTGCCTGGAAGGCGCAGATAACTTACCAGCTTCCTCAATACGAGCCAACATGCGCTGGTACTCCTTGAGGTGCTTCTTCTCCTCCTTGGGGTTCTTGGGTGGAAGCCATGACGGTCGGGTGCGCGAGAGGTACTTCTGCTTCTCAACTGAGGGCTGGAAAGGGTCGATCAGAGGATCGCTCTTGCGAACAGGCGGGAGTGCTGGCTTTTTGCTCTTTGGCTCTGGCTGGCTCATAGATGCTGAACGCGTGAGACCGGGCTGTTGCCGTGAGATTTCTTGCTTCCGCTCAAATTCGGATTGGAACTCCTCTAGCTTCTCTGTGATCAACTTGGCGTCGGTATCTAACGCGGTGTACGTCTCGGCCCATGTGTTTTGCTGTGCCCCGGGTTGGGGAGACACGCCCCTGCTAGAAACGTTGGGTGACGGAGTTCGCTGGGAGACGCGCGCAGAAGGTGCGGGAGATGTCCTCGAAGATGAAGAGACGCCAGGATGCGGTGACATTAATGGCGGACTCTCTCCAGTCCATGACGCCGGCGACCGATCCTGAGTAGGGCGTGGCGAAATGGGGACATTCCAGATGACAGCGTCCTCAGGGAGCTCATCGTCTTCGTCGTCGCACTCTGCCTCCCTTTCTTTTACAGTTTTTCTTTTGGAGTCCTGCCACGACTGCCTCCTGGAGCCCAAGCCCGGGGACGGCAAGACATCGTTCCGCGAGCTCTTGCGAGATAATGTGCGGGGTCCCGAAGCGGACTTGTGTGTGTTTGACGGAGATGGTGAGCGCGAGGAGCGTTGGGGCGCGGCAAGGCTCAGGCTAGAGAGCGAGGGGACAGAGGGCGAGGTGAAGCCTCTTCTGGCTTGCTTGCCGGGAGCGGAGAGCTGGGCCTGCTGACGAACGGCGTGGTTGACCTGGCCCTTGAGGCTCGGGTACTTTTGCTTGGTTGCACCCGTCAGGTCGCGGAAGGAGTGGGCCGAGTGCGAGTGCGGGAGGCTCCTGGTGGAAAGCGAGGCGCGCGGGGCTTCGAAGAGAACGCGATTAGACGGGCTCGCAGGCACGGGGAAGGAGGAGGGCCCACCTGATGCTTCGTCGAGGTTGATGTCCTCAAAGTGCGAGAGGTTCTCCGTCGTGCCCATGAAGTCTAGCAGGGTGGACGAGTGGATGCTGGACGACTTGGACGACTTTGAGTTTGTGAGGTCAGGCGGGCTGCCGGGCGGAGCGCCAAACGTTTGCTGGGCATCGTGGGCGTAGGTGAGGGTGGCCATGAGCGGTCGGGGCGGTCGTCGCTGGGTATCGATGCGGAGTGGTGTGCCAATGCGGTGAGGCAGTCGGTGGTGGTTCGCCCAGCTGTCGTCGCGGTCGCAAGGGGCTTTGATTAATGAAGGCACATAGCTATGCGCGGAAATAATGTACAGCGACTTTTCCTGCGAGATGTAGTGCACGTCGGCGTCGCAGTCTTCGCTATCGGCCGCTTCGTAGACAGGAGGCAGTCGCTGGTGATGCTGCACCGCCGGCATCTTGGTCGATTCGGCGACGCAATTTGCGGAACTCGCGCTAGCCCCTGATGTCGGGGGACAGGGATGGCCTCCAGTGGTGGGCCTCGCAGTGCTCTGGACCCGTCAGCGGCGCAGATGCCTTGGTCGAGTTTAATTGCAAGCAGCCGTCGGTTCTACGTTGGGAATGGGATCTGGCATGGGAGCAGAGGGCGAGGTTTTGGCGACATGTGAGATGCAATCGTGCTTGAAACCGCAAAACCAATACGGCGCCGACTGAGGCAGGTATGCTTCTCCAGCCCGACCCTGGTTCAATGCGCCTAGCCAGGCGTTTTGCGACGCTGTCCATCTGCTGCGAGCCTGCATAGTCGACCCCGGCTTCTTTGGGATGGGGTTGGTGTCCCAGCCGTCGCATCTACGCTTGACATCACGATACCAGCGTCGGCGGGCCAATCGCGTGCCGTCGAGGGCTGTCGCCTGCTTGACGCGAGGCTTATCAGCAGCAAGTAGTGGTCCGCCTATACACTACCGAGCCTTGCCTCAGTGCTACCAGCGCTGCAATATGCAAGAAAAAGACAATAACGACATCATCCGCTCTGCAGTCCTTCCGTCACTCCCGACCGCGCTGCAGCCAAGGCCCAAGGCTTGCAGTCGTGCCCACATGCCGCCGCTAAACGTGGGCGCTCGGCGTGGGCCCCCGGCCACAGATCCCTAGCTTTGCTTTTCCCGAGTTCCTATCCCGTCACCACACAGCCATCCACACCTGCACCTCCCAACATCTTCGCTATATGCCTAGCCACTGCATTATCGCTGGAACCCGCTTTTGCTAGCGTATTAAGCTTTCAATGCCAAGTTATTGCCTCCTCCAGCATGCGTCGCTCCGCCATGTCAGACATGCGCGCTGCCGAGAGACATGTCTGCAGCCAGGCTAGCAGCGCGCGGTGCTGCGTCTGCTTGCGCTGAAACACCGTCTGAAAAGCTTTACAAGCCAGCCTATCCCTTCAATTAGCATTCGTTGGAAACCGGTAATACGAGCCCCGCCATGTCATCTTGCAAACCGTGGAGGCGATCTAGCCAAATCGCAGATCGTGCATCCACTTGCTGTGCAACACGGAAGCTTAGCCACACGTACCATTGAAGCTGCCGCCGCGAGATGACGCCCTGCACTATCTTTGCCTCTCTGCTGCCGCGCGACCGTGAACGGCGCTGTAGCATCACATGGGCTAGTGCAATCATGTTGTCTACCGTCTCTGCAGTTCCCTCCGTCAGCAATTTCCTTCGCTAGCGTAGCCCGCGCAATCACGATCGCTCGTGGCGTGTGCCGTGCTCGCTTTCGTGCTATCAGACCATCATCTATTACCACGCCCACCCTCCCACGGGACAACCCCGCACGAGCACATCGATGGATTGGGCGTTTGAATATTCGCAACGGGAAAGTTTAGACGTACTGATAAGCAGATTCGAACACGTCGTTCGCACCTTGGATAGCGCGCGTGCGTACTCGAGGCACCTCACCGCCGCTTCAAGAAAGCTTTGATGCAAATTCGCTAGTACGGTTGCCACGCTGTTCAACGATGGATCGATCAACATGGCCTTCAGCTGGATCTTGAATCCGCTATCAGAAATCAGTAAATTGTCGGACTTTTCACACCGTCCATGACCCGATTGGTCGGCGGTGCATACCGCGATCTTCGATACTTACTTGAGAGCTTTGCGATGGAACGTTTGACCGGGCATTTTGGTCAGATCTACAGTCAAAGAGTCCTCAACACCTGGTGCGGTTAGCATTTGAAGCCGCAAATAGACATTGTGCGCGCAATGCCACCTACCGGCCTTTGTAGGGCGTTCTGTTTTCTTGCTGACTTCCAGCGTCGTCGTATCGATACAGACGCCGCAATACGGGAATTTACCATCTGAGCCGCTTGTCGCTATCCGGTCTCCCTCCTCCGTCGTGACATTGAAGTTTGCCATCGACTTTGAAGGCTTTATTACTACGCCGTATTCCGGGTGGCCTTTGTGCATAACGCGTACGAAGCGCTGAGCATACTCTTCGTTGATACTGATCAAGAGGAAATCGTCAAGTAGGCGAAGAAGCAACGAGTCTTCATCGAGCACAAACCCAAGCACATCGCGTTCTAGCTGAGCGTAGAAGAAGTTGCACAAGATGCTCGATAAGACTGAGCCCTGTGGTATACCAGTCTTCTGGCGATAGAAGCGCTTCCCAATTTTGACGACATTTCTCTCGATATGCTCCTGTAAGAGCTGCATTAAGTCATCCTTCGTCTCGCGCCGTTGCAAATTGGTATTAACAAACACGGTGTTGGCCTTGGTGCCTGCCAATCTATCTTGCACAAGTTGGTGGAAAGGCGTTACACCCGTGGCTGCCTCAGTATGCGGTATGTACTTCTTGAGAGGCATTGGGTCCACATGTTTACCGCCGAGACGCTGTAGAGGGCCCAGGGGGGATATCTCCACATGTTTGCCGGTGTTGTAAGCCTGGATCGACATGAGACTGTCGATCATACGCAGCAAGCGTGACTGTGGTATAGTATCGAAGCAAGCCTGAACATCAACTTTAGCAAAATAAAGCCGAATGTCGCCGAGTCCCCGCTGTCGCAACGATGCTTTGAAAGATGCAAGCTTGGGAAGCATATCTCCGACGGAGAAAAGTGAGCAGCCGAATTTATCGGGACGCAACGACTGGTTCAAATTAGCCATAGTAAATCAGTCAACGCGAGCGACTACTGACCTTTTCGTAGGTAATAGCGTTGAAAGCTGGTGTCATCACCGAGTTGATACTTCGTCCGAGAGTCATAGTTCCATATCGCATCACCTGTTGTCTTCTCTTAAGATTCATGATAGTCCGGAAACCCTGTTTCTTAGGAAGCAGACGGATGTTACTGAAACCAAGCTGACGTGCAGACAGCAGTCTTTCCGTGCTTTCAGTAGGCATCTCCTCGAACATATTCATCCGTAGTTCCTTCAAGGCAGGCTCTGTTAACATCCGCCAGATATCATGGCGGAAGTAGAAAAGTCTGTTCCGATGCGCGTTGGACTCCGTTACGTGGAAGTTTGTGCGGACCAGGGGAATGAGGAAAGAGTCGAAGAGCCAGTAGACAAACTCGAGAAATATCTCCGTACGCTTATCTATGTCCGACTTGGATACCTTTGTGCCGTCGTCTTGGCTCGGTGGGCGCAACCAGGCTATGTCCGTGATCTGGCATCTGTCAGCATAGCCCTATGCTCAGTGTAGGGGAATACGTACGTGTATGTTCTGTGTAACCTGATGTAGATTAAGCGACTCGAATCTGCGCAAATCTATGAATTGGTCCACCCAATACATGAGAGTGCGCTTGTTATGCTCGTTGCCCCAGAATCCTTCCGGTATAACTTTGGAAATGACTGCGCGACAAAAGGCCGATACGTGTGCCGCTGGACACGCCAGATCTGTGAAACAGGTTTCTTGGACGGTGGGATATCCAGAAGCAGGTCGCGCTTTTGTGCAACGATTGACTGGATCTGCGACCGATCGTACATCTGCCTTCGGCTGAAGAGCGCTCTTCCTCCAATCTGGCTTCGTTGACACGGGCACCCCCTGTCTGAGTTAGCAGAGTTTCCTATACACGTCACGGACAAGAGTACCTCGATTGGACAGTAGTGGCGCAGCATCTCCATATACGAGCACCGCTGGTTGCGGACCCGAAGTTTGTCCACCAGTTTAACGGTGTCACCCCGGAGTCTCTTTGGTATTCGCTGTTTCCATTTGGCTATCTCCTGGGCGTCTGTTGCTTTGGGACCTAGTTCCTGGCACATAGCGGTATGTATATCCTTCTCGCGCAGCGTGTAGTCCTTGAAAGGCATGGCTGTCTCACGATGATCCACCTTGGAAGTGAAAACGTTGTGCAAGCCAAATTGACGGGGAAATATATAGCGCATAACGTGTACTGTCTCTTGCTTGTCTTCTCGGTCGGTGAATCGATTGAGAACATCTAGAAATGAAATTAGTTTCAAGAAGGCACTCGAAGAACAGTGGGAACGCACGAATATGGCGCATGCCGAATCTCACACCACCTTTCGCATTGAGCGCCGCTTTCGCGTATAGCATGCGACTGCGCACAAACGTGATAGCACCCGGCTTTTTGCTTTCAATCTTGAGTTGTGAAGGTTTGGTGGGCGCTTCCTTATCCGCATTGACTCTTGCGATGTTGCTCTTCTGATGTTCATCCGATTTCACCTCATGCACAGGAACCCCAGAGAGCTGGTAGTAGTTGCCCATATCAGCACTGACCAAGATGAATATGGAGCATTCCAGAAGCATGTCCATGATAATGCGGTCGCCGCCCTGGCCGAGCAATGCGTGCAATCGACACCATACTGGCTCTTTTAAAGTCCTCGCGTAGCTATTAGGGAGACGTTCTTGCAGACCAGGAATAGACGAACTCGGATCCTCGCTGTTCCTGTGTGCACGGCGATTGCTGCCCGCAGATCTTTGAAAGCCATAGCAGAGTAGGTGTGCTGGTTTGTGAGATGTTGAACGTTTGAACAAGCGCCATATCACGAAGTCAACAATCTGGGTATATTTAGTCGAGTTCTTTGAGCGGAACACTATGAGCAGGCGATGCGTCGTATGACCTACCTCGGATTGCCTGTAGTATCCCGGCTTGAACGTGCCGCCCGGAGTGCTCTGCGATCGTTGTTGGGTGAACGCTTCGATATCCTTTTCACGCTCCTCGGTGAAACTCGTCGTTTTGTCCTTTTCTGGTTGGACGCCTGAGGTGCATACTAATGCTGAGTCGAGCAACTGCACAACGGCATTGTCAAGGCCATCCGTGGTGCTTTTGTCTCCAGCGGGTATTGCATGTCCAAGTTGCGAAAGCTTTCGGTACCTGTTCTTTGACGAGCTTGGGAGCCGAGAGAGTAGATACTGGCGCAGAGTAAGGACTTCGGGATACAGGCGTTGTAGGACTGGATGAGTAGCATTGACAGTAGTGGCCTTAGTGGATTGGTCACCGGCGCCCTTTGCTTTCTTACGGATGCCCGTACCGCTATGGGCGCTGCGTTTTCTCTTCATGTCGTCATAGGCGCATGCATTGCATGCGCAGTCGCGTTGTTTGATGCTTGTGGTGTGTGAGTGGAGCTCGTGAGGTGTGTTAATGGGGTTAGCGCCGACGCGACTGCACGCGTCGGCGCGTGACTTAAACAGGGAGTCGCATCAACTCTGAAATCCCTGTCACAACCCGCGTACAGTTATGCAGCAGGTTCGATTTATACTATATCGAAGCATCATCATATTATGAACAGGTCAAGCTAAGCAATACGATCTTATTTGACGCTCGTATTCTACCTAAGTACTTTCTTAGAGTTCTCAGGCGTCAGAATGGACACATGGATTTGAGGATCATCCGGTGCTCTACGAATAGTATTCAAAGACCGAACCATCAATCCAAGTCTCTCTGCATCCGCGTTCGCTAAGCCTACTTTACCTTACAGGTCTAAGCACCTCCCAATCTCTCATATTACGCATATCGTCCGGTTCATCATCCATCAAATTCCTCCTACTACTCCCACCACTTCCGGTGCGCGGCGGCAATGCCGGCTTGTCACCGTCATCATCAATCAGATTCTGCACAGGTTTCCTCGTCATGTTAGGAGGCGGAGCCATTGAGCGTCTGGCTGACTGCGGAGGATATGCCCTCGATTCTTCTTCCGGGGGATCATCGCGGTAACGTTGTGGAGGGGGTGCGAAGGTTGGTCCTGGAGAGGAACCCTTGGAGAGGAGAGAGGGTTTCTTGTTTGGGATTGGTGGTGGGGCTGGTTTGCGGAGGACTTGTGGTTTACTCGATGATTGTGTTTGGGGGAGCGTATTTGATGCGCGGTAGGGTAGGCTGCTGGGAAGGGAGTGTGTGGACGCGCTTGAGCCGCTGCGGCGGAGGTCGCTGAGCGAGTCTCGCGCACCGTCTGAACTGAGTATTTGAGTGGCATGGCCCGGATATAGCGGAGCGATCATCTTACGAGCCGCGGGCTTCTGCGTTGGTGGTAAACTGGTCGAGGGGCCGTTGAAGTCGACTGTGCGTGCTCTTTGTGAGCCGCGTGCTGGTGGTGGCTCGGGTCTGCGACTGCTCTGCATATGCCTAACATCTATCCAGTCTGGCTCTGGACTAGGCGTAAACGGATTGCTGGGTCGATTCGGGTTTGGAAAGTGGTTGTTAGATGGCGGTTCCACGCGTGCTTTCGCTGGTAAACCTATTGAATATGAGTATCCAAGCTATAGCGGGAAAGATGATGAAAGTACCGCTGTCGAGCCACCACTTCCTCCGATCTGAGCTTGCAGGCGGCAATCCTGGCTCAATGCTGTCGTACCCAAGCAGATCTTCATCGTCTGTTTCATCATCACCCAGACGGCCTGCCGCGTGGGTATCGCCAACCACTTCTCTTCGTTGTTTGTACAAAGTAGCCTTCATGGCATCCTTCTTCTTTTCATCGACCCTTTGCACCAGTATCTGGAACGTTGCATAAACCGGTCGATGGTCAGAGAAACGAAGTGGTGCATCGTTGTAGTGAATTTGTCGGATGTTGTCACCCTTGCGAAGTACACGATCACACCAAGCGGGAATGCGTGCTTTCTCGGATGTATCGTATTGGTTACTGTTGAGATCGTACTTGTACGTCGGCGGGAAAGTGATGCGGGCCTCGGAGTAGTACGGAAAGGTCAAGCCAGCGACCATCTGTAGATTAAGCTACTTTTGGTTAGCTATGGTCCATGCAAGCAGAACACGATTGTTTACCTGGTCGTTGTCGTACAAAGTCTCGAGGTCACCAACGTGACACAGCCGTTGCACCTTCTCATTGTTCAGGCCAATTCGGTAGTTGAAGTCGCCAAGCCATATCACAGTGTCATGGTCTTCAATTGATCGGTTCCTTTGAAAGCGTAGACCATGGCTGATAGTCTTATAGTCGCGGTTGCGCTCTTCGTAGTTGGCAAAACCAGCTGCGAGATGGGCCGTGACAAGGCAGATTGAGGTATTGGCGTACTCAAACCGGATGGCTACTGCTCCTTTGTTGCCAGCCATACCCGACATGCCAGTCTGGAGTATGTTTTAGTACAATACGTAAGATGGAGTAAATGTGGACATACCTTCTTTAGAGCGCCTTCAACGTTCTTGATATGCGTGAGGCAGTCGGCCCGGACAAAGACCGATAAACTCGCGCCCACCAACTGGCCGCCTCTTAGAATAACATACTCGTCTTTTCTGTGCTTTTCGGCATTCTTATTCAGACACATTCTGACAGCTTCCTCCCAAGCCTCGCGTCTGTCTGGGTCTGTCGACATGATTTGTTGAGGACTTAATTCGACAATCTCTTGAAACCCTACAGCTACTATTTCGGGGCACTGTTGTGATGGATCGACATCCGGGCATAGCCAGGGCGAAAGATCGCTTTTGATGCCACTCGTCTTTCCATTCAGGTTGAATGTACCGACAAGAATATTGATCATCTCGGTCTCTGAATACTCCGCAGATCGTCGCGCAAGCTCTGCGACCACATAGTCGTTAAGCGGGTCATATAGATGCACTGGAACCTGGCCAATCAATCTCCCAAGGAGCATGTCGATGGTGTTCTGTCGCCCTTTATCCGCAAAGTTGTTAATGTACATTCGGGTGGCGCTCTTACGAGCGTCTGCCAGTGCACCGGCAAGCGACATCTTTCCAGATCGAGTAAATGAGGACTTCAGCGCTCCAGTCCCCGCATAGATCTTTGAAAGAGCATCGCCATTGTCTGCCCACATACTTGAATGTCTGACCCAGAAGTCCTGACTGGCTCGAAGACCTTTGTGGCTCAAGAAGATTTCCAGCGCCATCTTGCTGATGATGGTTTGCACGAGATTCGTTCGATCAAGACAATCCAAGCAGTTGGTTCGGAAAACACCCTCCTGCTGTAGTATGCTCATTGTCCGGCGGACGGAGTAGTCTTCCCCATTGTGTCTGGCCACCTCTTCCACATCTTCAGAGAGATAGTACCCGAATCCTTCGGCAGAACCTTGGATCCACTGAGCAATCATGCTAGCCATCTCATAGCCACCGGGACCTCGCGTCTCGGCATGAAAGTCATATTCCGTAAGCTTGATGAGGTCATGCTGCCGGTCGTTGAGGTTGCTTCCTTGATTCAACGGGCTATTCCTGATGTGCCCGCGATATCTATGCGTCAACTCCAACTCATTCTGTTTTTCGTTGCTTAGCAAGTTGACAACATGAGTTGTGCCATAGCTGAGTTCCAGATTATCAAAGTGCCTGTCAAAGGCGGGTTGTGTAGCTTCCGGCGACCGGGTGATAGTGATCTTCTGTTGGTTTGGGAGGAGACCAGCCTGCTGTTCCCAGAAGATGGGTACACTTCCTCGCACCTGCACATAAGAGAAGCAAGCTCCTGAGGGTGCCCAGTATATTGTTTCGCTTTCCACAAAGTTTGCGACATTCCCATCATCATCGATACCTCGCGAGTTGAACCTCGTGCCCGCCCGCTTGCAGGATAATCTTGAGATGAGTGTCATGGACGACGGCATGCCTGAGTCCTGTACCCTGATGGGGGCCGAAGACTTGGGAATCGTAATGGTCAGTGCGAAACCGCGGATGGCAGATGTCAAGATCCCCGAAGCATCCAAAGCGTCCTTCTCCCTGGGCGCAAGGCGACTCCTAAAGTCCACCAGTGGCTGGATCATGTATGAGTTCCATAAAAAGCCAGCGTCTAGACTGTCGATAGATACAGTCGCGGCATCGGTTGTGCGGTCTTGTAACCGTCTGGTCAGGTCGAAGTCTGAGCTGTAGTAGAAAGTTCCACTGCTGAGTATCTTCTTGAGCGCCAGACACGGGTGTTCCATGGGCGATTGCTCTTTCCTGCCACCGAAGCCCATCTCATATCCTTCGTCATCGATTGTATCCGTGGGGTAGGGGTTGACTTCGTCGTTGAGCAGGGTATCGTAGCTTGTGCTGGTCAGGCAGTAGAAGCCGACAGAGTATATCCTCTGCACCGTCTCGCCAGGCCGCACTGTCGCCACCTTGCTCGCGCCATTGACGACGACTAGGAAGACATCGCTGTTGACAGTGATCAAGCCCAATGTGCCGTGTACGTTGACCGAATGCAGCGCGCGGTAGTCTTCTAGATCGATTTCCTCCAGCCGGGTGAACTCGACCATGCAGCGCGCGACGCCGGCGCCATTGCTCCCCAGCGACGTGGACGAGGCATTGGGGTTCCCCGTCTGTTCGGTGGTGGACGAGCTGTGTCGGAGGACGAGGGCGTGGGTCGAGGTAGCGAGGGCGATTGCGCGGTGTGGGTAATCTTTGATCAGGACACGAATAGACATGGTCGGAGGTGGACGGGGGCGGAGGAGGAATGCGCGGGTGCTTCGATCATGCTCGGGGTTCTGCTACACGTGAAAGCAGTCAAAGCGTTTGCGCAAGTATGACGGTCGCGGAAAGTAAGCACGTGTGCTTTGGCGGTTGCTCTCAGCTCGCAGGATTATGTTGGCCTGGATGCTGATCGCAACCCTAGATGTACACCACTCGACTGGTGCCCGATGCTTTACAAGGCTGCCCTGACTATCGCTTAGGCGTACGCCGGCAGCCGGAACTCGACATTTGGGCTGAGAAACATGTGGAGCTTATTCTCTCCGTCTCGGAAAGTGCGGCGCGACGTCTTTGCTGGTTCGTGCATCTCGTTCAGGTGCAACATGACTAATGACCTCATAGCAGGAGCAGTCGAACATGAAAGGTAAATTAATTTGGATAAGAAAACTATAGACGACCGCACCAACTATGGACAGATGCTGTAAGTCCTTCAAGACACAAGTAGTGATATCAATCGTAAGCCAACAAAAACGTGGTTCCCAAACAGACATTCATCTCTGCCTGTACGCAACTCTGGTGTTAGTCTCCGTGTAGCTGGGATCTTCATAACCACCCCGACTGCGACTGCGCTGTCTGCTCCTGTCGCGCCTCTGGTATCTTTCGTAATGATCGCTCTCGCTCGATGCCGGCTCAACGTATCGGTAGTGCTCGTAGCGAGGGTTCTCCGGACTGT